GGTACAGTAGTGGGGTGAATTCCTACGCCCAACCATCTACACTGGGATCCTGACTCATCATGCATTAGTTGGCTCTGTGACTTGGGCAGATGACTTAATTTCTCTGTTCCTTATTTCCTCTTTTGTGAAAAGACCCCCATGAGATACATGTATATAAACACAATTGCATCTCCCTAACTCTTGGGGATGGTGTTGAGATTAAATGAGCAAATACACATAAACAAATGAGTAAAAACACCTAGAACAATGTTTGAACATTGTAAGCTGCTCAATAGTTGTTACCTGTTATTTTCTATTTCTTTCTGCTTCTTGATATCAGTATTACAGAAATGTTTCAAAAATGATATAACAAAGAAGTAATACAAATGGTATGTGTTGTTTGAATCTTGATATTAAGAATAATTAAAGAAGTATTTAAAAAAAGACTATGGTAAGATATAAGCCAACCACTTATTAGCTTTGGATTACTCAGGAAATTAAATATGATTCATTAATAACAATTCTAACATCTTCTCAAGAAATTATGTCTTTAATTTTAATCAGCTGACTTGAATATTTATTGAATGATAACTATCCTTACAATTGTGCTATATGATAGCATGATTATCTAACGGAACTCATGTTGGTAAAATGATACTGGTACAACTTAACATCTTTATAGTGCCCTTTACTCTAGGATCCTGAGAGAACTGAAAAATGTTACAATAGGAGGAGATGAATGGATATACAGTATTCCATTCCACAAATCAGGAAAACTGGCAGTTCTAATCACCTCCTCCATGAGAATTCAATCTTGGCTTTACGATAAGATCATCACCCACATCCTCAGTGCCGGTGCTCAGAACGCACTGGACTTCCTACTTTAAGCTCCAGGACAACGACAGGAGGAAAACTAGGGGGAGCATATCCAGGGAGAGTGTCCCAGACACTCACAGTCAGGACTTTTTCCCTATTGTCATTCTACTTTTGTGTAGAGGTTCGTTTTGCCTGGATAATCTCCTAGGTATGACAAAAATCCTTTCAGAGTTCATTTAAAGCCCATCTTTTCTATGAGGCCGCCCGGCACTAGACTATCTCATCCTAATTTCACTTCTCTAAATTTTTATTACAGTCAATGGCACTAATGGCCTGGTCCCTTGTATGGTCTTGTTATTTTTATATGCAAATACTGTTCTGATAATTAGATCTTAAATGGCTACAGCAATGGTGCTAGAACTTCACGCATCAGAATAACTTAGTTTGCTCACATGCAGACTGCTGGGCCCCACACCCAGAGTTTCTGAATCTGTAGGTTTAAGGAGGAGTCTAAGAATTTACCTTTCTAATGAATTCCCAGGTGATACGGATACTGCTGGTCAGGGGCCCAAACTTTGCCAACCAATGATCTAGACATATTCCAATGGCATCTCCTTTTTGTATGACATCATATACAGTGTTATTTACGTCTCTCTCTCTCTCTCTTATTTTTTTGCTATACATGTTGCCACAACTCCAATCCAACTCTTCACCCCACGTTTTTTTTTCTTGGAATTCCCTCTGCTAATTTTCTAATAAATTCTGACTCATATTTCAATTTCCAATTGGTCACCTATGAGAAGCTTTTCCTGATCTCTTAAGTTATAAGTAAAGTCTTCTAGATGCGTGATTCTAAATGCGTTTGTATATTCTCCCATTGTATATGATAATTACCACTTTTTACTCAAATTACTGGGGCACATGTCTGTTTTCCTGGCTATACTATGATCCGTCTCCTGCAAGGCAGAAGCCATGCTTTCCTTTCCTCTTTAGTGTTAGTGCCAAAGTAACCAGTAACTACTTAACTAAAAGGATGACTACGTTGACTTCATATCTAGAATCCTATAATACTCTCCTAATAGCTTTGCCTAACCTTAAGGTGTTATTTCTGACTCAAGTCATACATTGCTATCCGATTAGTTTTCCTAAAACTCTATATTGCATTCCTTTCTACTCCAAAACTGTGCTGACCCCTCGAAGTCCCGAATCAAGCTCTGTACATCTCTTACCTAGAGTACCAGTGTGATCGCCTATTTATTATCTGCTCCAGCCCATGTACGATTCTCATGTCCACTAACACATAACACAATCACACATTTCCAACTGTCAGAAACTTGTAAAGCTCTGCTTGTTTTCTCCCCAAACACATATTTAAAATTTCATTTTGCTTAGTTCTTGCAACAGTCACTATGTATGCATTTATTCAGAACTTACCATCAGCTGTCTCAAAATGCTCTTTTATTTATGCATATTTCATTTACCCTTCTAGTTGTTAAGTGCTCTGAGTGCCTAGTCCCTATTTTATCCTTTCTTTCCCACTGTCTGTAGTAGACAGGCTTTAATGTTTAGTTATAATCATTGTAAAGGATATACCCAGTAAACTCTTAAAAAAAAAAAAAGCCAGTGGCCTATACATTCTTTATGTCATCAAATAAAACAGACCCCAATGACTCAAAGGAGAGCAGGAAGACATTTTAATTTCCCTTCTGGTCTGTAGGCTCTGCCTCAGAAACCCCAAGATTGTCCCAGTCAGAAAGAAGAGCAAAGTCTACACTGATCAGGTGCAGCTTTTAGAGGGGATCACAGTCTTATCTCTACCCAGATCACAGTCTTCCCAGAGCTAGACAGAGGGCAACTCTGGGGAGGCGACAGGCAGAAGTGGGAGGCTTGTAGGCGGAACTGTAGTGCATTGTGGGAAGGACACCTGACCATCAGTAAAATGTAGTGGGAAGGGATGGAGGTCAGAGGCGGCCAGAGGATGGAGAGAATCCCATCTTAGAAGAGCCGAATGTTTTAATATGAGTGCCAGCTTGACTGGAAACTGAGCTGGGAGTGAGTGTATCACCCTGCTTTCCAGTTTTACATCCAACAGGTCCAAATACTTAGCACAGCCAACAGGAAAATCACACGCCTGTATGATGCATGGTACACGGTGAATCTTCAGAAATCTCTTAAGTATAGATAACAGAAAGATCTAATACAGGGACTATGGGAAAATACTGCAGAAGAATGTAAAGAGAAGACTTATCCCGAAAAATCAGGCAAAGATCCATGTAGCCAAAAATAATATACTGCGTTAATAAGAAGAAAATTTTGATAAGCAAAACAGATGGAATCCAAAAAATAAGACTTTAATAATTATGTGGATTCTGGTAAGAAAATCATATTGACAAAGATAAGCACAGAGTGAAGAGTAATTGAGATAAAGTTCTGATGTTCCATGAGTGATGAACAATGTTGATTTCTGAGTTCAAAAATAAGAGAAATGGGTGAATGCAGTAACTACATTGTTTTTGATGTGAAACCTTCATAAGTGTATATCAATAATAAAAAAAAATAAGAGAAATATATTTTAGAGGGTTTTACAAAATTTAAACATTTCTCAACAAGATGGCTACATTCTAAATCACCAAAAATGTGGACAAAAAATTTATTTATAGGGCCAAAGTAAAACAAAGCAAGAAAACATTAAAGCAATAGTATAAAACAAGATGATATAAGACCAAACATATCAGATATTACAACAGATCTGAACATATTTAACATGGCTACTGAAAGATGAGAAGTCCAAGATAGGGTGAAAACCTGAAATTCCGCCTCTGCCCTGGACACAAAGTTGGCAGCCCTGAGATTCTTTACCCCTTTGTGGCTCTGAAGGGAGAATGCTCTTCCTACCACATCGTGCTGTCTAGCTAGGTATGCTAATGAAACTAACACCTTTACATTTCAGATGTTTAAGTTCATTCTCTCTATACATGTAAAACTATGTACTAATTAAATAGTACCGCCCACTTCTTTTGTCTTTGAGTAAATAGATTGCTTTTAGATAGATACATTGTGTACACTGAGATATGAAGTACATATGAAATATCTCATGAATCTATGAAGATATTTGTACATAATGGAGATGTGTATAAAATATATAGTAAAATTTAATGTACATAATAAGAGAGTCCTTTCGTTCTGTTCTAGCATCTTTTTAGCAGAGGTATTATCTTTACCATGTATATTAAATGATTAAAATGCAAAAACATTTCAAATAACTTTATTACTTTTGTTGACAAATTTCATTCTCTTGGTTATTTAATACATATCTATATCATCCATATTTTATATATGTATCATCCATATTGACACATATGTGATAGATTTAAAGAGTAATATTATAGTTACCTTTATAAGCAATGATTTGGAGAACATAGGTCTAAAATCATGGTTCTGAGTTTTCATACACAACAGAATGATAATTAAAGGTTTAAGTATATCTATTTATGTAGCTATTTAAATTCACCTGATTGCAAGATAATTTTGTAGAGCCTGAACCATAGATGTAAACTCTTTGTCATTCAACATGAATAAGGGCTTTTGGAGTCTAGGTTAGGAAAAAAAGAGACACTTAAATCTCATGAACATGTTTAACCACTGACAACCTCTGGTTTAGCAGAAAAACAAATCCACTATCTTCTTTTAATTTCCAGGCATGGTACTGCCAAGGTTGACGGCAGTTACTCATCACTTAGAAATGTAATCTGATTTTATATTTTTATTTGAAGATTAAAAAAAAAAGAAAGGACGCTGTAACCCAATCATGCCACAATCCCGGTGACATGTGTACTAGGCAGCATTCTCTTGTTATTCTCCTGTCTAGCTGCTGTAGTGCTGGGAACGACAAAGTAGTGAAATTACATTTTCCCATTATTATTTCCAGACACTCTCTGGCAATGGTGTGTTTACTCTCATAAACCTTCAGACAAAGCTGTCAGGCAAGAAAACGGCAGGAGAGCAAAGGAGAAGCCTCTTCAACAGTAACGCATCTAAAACCTCAAACCTTGTATAGGTTCTTGTTTCTGATAACATTTAATGTGAGTGCTTCGGTGTTTATTTTAATGCTGCATTTGAATTCCCAGGAGAAAAATGTATTCCTTCAAGTCACATTACGAATGACGTGGATGAATGTAAACAAATTAGAGGCGGAGATGTCTTACCTGCTATAGTATTCAGAAACATCAAATATTCGAAGTTTGAGATTTCCCTTCTCTGCCAGCGCTGAGTCATGTTGGAGGATTTGTAAAGCTGCCGAGGGGTGGCCAGGGATATCCTCCTAAGCCATAAAGCAAACCAGAGCAAACAGAGTCTCTATTTACTCATGACTTCTAAAAACTCAATTATTGGCTTGACATCATTCACTTAAAGAATAATGTACAGTTGATCCTTCTTAAACAAATTATAAAATATATTTTAAATGCAGACATTAGCAATACTTGAGAATTCTATAATACAGAAGACACATTTAGTTTCTCAGGATAAAGCACTGCGAAAATATCTCTATGTATAATAGGGCTGCGAATGGGTGTTTTGTAGCACCAGAAAGACAAAAACAGTGAAACTATACTCAGAATATGTCAGAGTAGCTTTCAGACAATACAGCAGATCTACTACATCCCTGCTAATCAGCTACGTGGGTAGTCAGTTAGGTACCAGCTTACAAGCATCTGACTTAAACCACTAAACTTTTTACATGTGTTTCCACACATAAGTGTGCACATGTGCATAGCTTCTACCTACACAAGTATATCCCTCTACTGAGGTAAAAAAACAACCAGCTGTGAACTTTGAAGGTGTGTGGATTCAGAAGGGACATAGAAATAGCTTAAGTGAGTGTATCAGGATTAATTTGTCTGCATTACAAATCTTTTGAGGTTTAGTGTGTTTATCTAAGAAATAATGAAAGCTGGCTGTATTTGTAAAAGTATGATAAGGCTACTGAGTTCCTAAAAAGACCACCACTTAAGACAAAGGTTCCCAAGCTTTTTCGATTCAAGCTACCCTGAGTGTGGCACGAATTTTCATGTTACCCTTTGCCCAGGAAAAATACCCAGTAGTTCTGTTTATTAAGTAGTTAGGCCCAGACAACTTAATAAAGACTGAAGTCTTAACAACGTAGTGGCTATTTGAAATTATGATACTCATAAACTGAGCAAAAAAAGTATTTTTAATTCATGTTTAAATGGCCACAGCTACTCACTAATGGGATGCGTGCACCTGTTGAGCTCACGGTTTCCTGAATCTCGGGGTTGTATCTGACACACCACCACCTTCACTTCTTGTTCCACATGGATTTTCATGCATCACTGCTTTTTGAGCCACAGAAACCCCCAAAACCTAGTTTCACAGAGCTGAGATGTCCCCAAAAAGAATGCAGTGCCGGCTACTGCTGAAATGGACACGTAAGCTGAGAGCTTTGTGGGGTCTGACCAATGTTGCTGTGCTTGACTAGAGAGTGTGAAATGCCCGGCAGCACCCCTGTGAGTTCACTGTGCTACCCCAGGTTCCTGGACGCTCAGTTTGGGAACTGTGGACTTAGGACTATTTGTGTCCTTCATGCATTATTATCAAATATTTCTATTCACAAGGAATCTTAATAGGCAATGTTTGTAGGTAGTAGGAGTGAGTTGAAGAAAGAGGGGGAAGGAGGGATGGGGAGGAACTCATTATTCCAATTCAAATCTGAATTAAGAATTTTAAGATTAATTATGTGCAACCCTATGTTTAAATATTGACTTAATAAGTTGTAGCAGCCTGGTCACTTATTAATAGTTCTGAAGAACTTTCCTAGTTATATATATTTGAGATAATAGACCCTACTGAGTCCAAAAGAACTGAGTCTAATGTTTCACTTCATTTCAATGGGAAGTGGTATATATAACTCACATATCAATTCTATAATTCAGCACATTTTAAAATTATTTGTAATATGATTTTCACAGACCCACTTAAAAGAGTAAAATCCATACTGGTATCAACATCAGAATTTTCCCTGGTAGACTTCTACTCACACAGCTATTTTACGTTATAAGCTTTAGGCTTGATTCGTTGTCATGGCAACATGCTTAAATATTTTCTGAATTATCAAAGAATTAATAAACTATACTTAGCCCACTTTTCATTGTGGTATTATTATAATCATGCTCTTAGTCCAATTTGCATTTTGTTACTATTATAATCATATTACTAATCTAAAATTCTTACCTGAAGCATACCTAGTCCGCTTAAGGCAATACTATATAATAAAGTTTTTAATTCCTTTGTTGCCATTTTGAACCTAGACAATTTAAGAAGAAAATTGATGATCTGGAAATAATTCTGTTAGGATGTTTGGTAGAAAGGTAGACAGGAGCAGCTGGGGAAGGGGAAGATAAGGTTCAAGGGGAAAACCACTCCAACTGCCCAGGTGGGGGTCCCACGAAGACAATGTAGGCTTTGCAGGGAGAGAACTTCTTGCAATGGGAACCAGGCCAAACCTGTCCCAACCAGGTCCCAGTGAAGGTGCAATCAGACAAAACTAAGAACCACCCAAACTGCACCTCCTCATAATTTCATTAATGTAAAATTGTGGTTTTGCCACCCCCACAACGATGGGCTTTTCTGTGTGCATTTTGGGAAACATAAGCACACCAAGAGGAATGGGTGTATAACTAGAGCTGCCAATAAAATGACCTCACCCTGTCAATCAAAAAAGTACCTCCCAGTAGGTCATGATAAATAGACCCACCCCTAAAAGTTTGGGGTCTTTGTCTACCTTGACTCTGGCCCACTGGTCCCTTGCAGTGTTTATTTGAATAAAACTTACGCTCTGCTTTGCTACTATGTCCCTGCCTTTCCATTCTTCATTGCTGGATGGGGGGCGGTGGACGGGGTGGGGGGTGAGGGGAAGGGAAGCACGAAGAACTCAACCTGTAACACGGCCACCAGAGGCCAAAACCCAAGCAAATCCGTAGAGGTATAAATAATGGGAATCATGGGAGAGAGTTATCACGTCACTCTTAGCATCCGTAACGGTGCAGAAAAATGCGGGCATGGGAAGAGAACTTAGAAAAGCAGATTGTTACCAAGTTCGGGGAAAGGATCAGTTTTTCTGTTCACTGCTGTCTTTTCCACTATTAATTCACTGAGAGCAGGAACTATGTTTTCCTTTTTCTTATGCCTTTAGCAGTTAGCAGCACTTGGCATATAATGGTGTCTAAGCAAGTACATACTGAATGACTTGAATTATTGGTCATCTACCCTAAAAGAAAAAAATGGCTGAAAAGAGATGTGGTTCTAAAAAAAAACTGAATAATTCAATGATATGAAGAATAAAAACTGATAATAGTAAAATAAGAATGCTGTTCGAAATATAAAAATGTAGATATTAGAATGAGGATAGTTGGCACATATTTGGGCAATAGGATGTTTTTAGAATTGTGGGATAAGAGTAAGGCAAAGTTGCCCTCTGAAATAGAAAGTGTTCACTGCCACACAGCTGGTGACCATTTAAAATCATCAACCCTATGAATATAAACCAGTTATATCCTCAGTAAGCAAAGAATCTAGTTAAATCCAAAATTAATTGACTATGCTGACTGAATAGAAAATACAGTAACCAGACAATGGTAATCAGTATGGAGTCTAGAAAATGGGCACTTTTTGCCAATATTTTTCCATCATTCTGTAGGTGTAAAGGTATTGTTCTTATTCTTATGGCCAATGTGAGAAAACATTGGTGGGCAGCAAAAGAAGAGAAATAAAGAGAGTGGCCTATGATCTTACAGGATAAGCAAGTTATCTAAACCAGACTTTTCCTATCTGTAAAATGGGATAAGAGTCCCACTGTTTTAAGAGTTGAGGGCAGAGTGCTCCGTTCTGCTGGGAGGGCACGGCTAGCAGATCTCCAGAAGCGGGTTCTCATCGGACACAAATCTGTTGGCGTCTTGACCTTGGACGTCGTAGCCTCCAGAGTTGTGAGAAATAAAAACCAAAGAAATAAGGGAAATAATGCTCATGAAGTAAAACCCAAAGTATGACCTGTGGCACTTGGGAAGTGCTCAGTTAAAGCTAGCTGTGGACATTAATTACTTAAAGGGGCACTCAGGCATTAGAGCTTAAAGGAAATATTCCTTTTGTTCTAAATCTTTGCTTGTTAAGCAACAATCTGATTTGTCATGGGATCTCCGGTGGGCTTGCCCCAACAAGCAGCCCGTATGATATGCGGAGTCAATTATTCTGGATTTGTTATTTGTTTGTTTGTTTACAAATCAGTCTCTTATGGATGTAGCTTAGTTAGATAAATTCTGATAAACTCTGCTTAAACTGACAAAACCAAATGTCAAGAAAACAAAGCACGGAAGAGATCCCTTGGTGATTCCACCAGGACGCTCTCAGCTGGAAGGCTTCTATGTGTAGGAGCCAGGCATCAATCATCCCTTCCCCTTGACAACTCTATAAATGCAACAAGATCTTACGTATCACACACGTGAATGTTCATGGATGTATGTGTGTATATCTATTTATCCTCCCACCTCCCTATTTGCCTACTTACCTACCTACCTGCCTATATCTGTGTAGGCATGCATAGATGTGTATAGCGTATATGTGTGTTTACAGTTTACAAAGTGTCTTCACTTTATGATCTCAAGACATTATACAACATCTTTGCAAAGATACCATCCCCAGTTTAAGCAGGTGACAGTGGCATTCCTCTTGCCTAGTGTTATTCATTCTTTCAAGTAATATGCACTGAGTTCCTCCTGTGCAGCTGGCTCTGATACCATTACCCAGCCAGTGTTCCTTTTAGCCCCATCTGCTATTTCTTAGGCTATGTGTCACAGGAAATACACAAACCTGAACTTCTGAGAGTATTACTAGGAAACTAAGAATGAGTTGAGCCTTTTGGTGGAAACTACGGGCAACAGAGGGGTATTTTAAGATGGAATGGCTGTGTGAAGTAACAGCAAAGCTAAAACTATTAAACAATTATTTTGCTTCCAGTTTTTCTATCAAGAAGAATGATCTTCTAAAAGTCAAAGACCAACTGTGGTTATAGAGGTACTCATAATAGGTAAGGAAACTAATACAAGAGCTTCTGGTTGTTTTAAAGGAGGTCAGGTCCAGACAAATTCAGGAGTACTGAAGGAAATTACATATGTCATTGAGACACCTCTACTGGTAATCTTTAAAGAATCATGGTGATTGAGAAAGATGCCCGGAGGCAGGAGATTATTTTTACAAAAGGAAAAAGGTAGACCTATTTGTGAATTTTTAATGTCAGTTCCTGGAAAACTTCTTGAATTGATGATTAAACAATTTGTAAGCGCTTGGGAAAAGGAAGTAGCGATTACTGTGAGTCAGTTTTAATTCAGTAAGAACGAGTCTTGCAAAACTAAATTCATTAACGCCTTTTTGTTTAATTCATTAACGTAAATGGATTAAACGCCTTTTTCCTTTGACCTGTATTTTATATAAGTATTTCATTACCCAGTAATGTCTTAGTTTAATCTTGTCATTCTACTAGCAAATATCCTGAGCATGTGCACACACGTCAGTGAACTGGTCTCACCCTGCAAGCTCAATGCAAGAACGGATATGCCGCCAATGAAGGGAACTCCTGTTGAACAGCACTTAAAAAGCACCTCTGCAATTAGGCAGTGTTCGGTGCTGCAGATTAAAAGACAAACAAGACACAGCCCTTGTCTTTTAAATATCTGTAACCTATTTAAGGGAAGATAGATAAAGATTAGTTCTCCTTCCCATCTATGCCGTGCTGGGCAGTAATTCCCAGCGACATAATGATCTACGTGGAAGCACTGCTGCTTGTCTCCCCAGAGCTGTTACCGCTTTCTTCACCAACAGAAAACCTGCTTTGTTCAGGCAGGAGGTCTGGCAAGGTGTTCAGAAGTATATTTTCCCCCGAATTCTTGGGGATGATTGAGCTAGGCCAGTAAACTCACTTCCCTTTGGGAGTGATTATTTCAGGAACCGGAAAGTGACCCCATTCTGGCCAAAGGGACCTGGGATTAAAATTGCTGTAGTATTTTGAGAAATCCTTTGTGTCATCTTCCTACTTGACTGCAGTTGTGTGAAGATGTGGTATCTACAGCGATAGTGGTCATTTGGTGAACATGAGGCCAAACGAGAATCCTGACATAACGAAATCTCTGAGCCAATAATTGTAACTCCTTAACTCCAGATTCTTTATAAAACAAAACCCCAAAAGCAGAACACCCTGCTCTTCAAGCCACTTTCAGTCAAGTCTTCAGCTACTTGGAGCCTAAAACTATTTGGTGTTAATAATACATGTAATTCTGTGTTTTCTACTTAGACTAGTATCTTTCAATGAAACAAGATTTCAAAATGATGCTCTTAAAATACCGAGATGAAAGACTTAGGAAACTGTTAAAACCACAGCATAATTCATGACTTAATCTCAATAAACTCTAAGAGTTTTATTACTTTCATGGAAAAGCATTTGTACATATAGCATTTATAAAAATGTTTATATGCAATTACATAATCACAAACATCATAAGACTTTTGGTATGTTTCTTGTAAGATCTTAAGCAAAAATGTCTTAATTATGTGCTATCTGACATGCAATCAACTTTTTTATTTCCTCGTTATATGTGTTAAATAAAATTATGCCCTATTATATCATTCTTAAAATAGCTGTTTTCATAACCTCTTTCCCTATAAACAACCTGCAGTGAAAGAAAATTCCTTGGTTCTCAAAATAGTTTTAATGGTATAACCCTATTTATATTTCTGTCACAGTGAGATTAAAATATGTTAACAAACCATAGATAACGTGGAATATGATATAATTACCTGGCTTGTGGTAAACCATAGCTGGTCCCTACTCCAACCCGAGGCAAGCTATAGACAACTTTTTTTACTGTTGCTTGATCAGGGAAATTAAACATAACCGAGGCTGTTGTAAGAAGAAAAAACATGATTTAGAAACCACAGGAGAGCTAGCCATTGATTTCAGAAATCATTTTCAAGTGACGATTATGATTTATATGCAAAGGTAATGACTCTTCCTGGAAAATCAGCTTTCTGTGTAACTTTATCCATGAGGAATCTAGGAGTCACATTCATTCTTAAACAAATTAAATCTTTTTTATTTTTATTTTTGTTCTAGTGGAGGCATACCAAAGACGGAAATACAGCAGGGAAAAATCAAGACCGTATTGTGCTGCATAAACGAGTAACACCCGAATATGAGCACACTTTCTTTCAAAATATTTCAGGGGACTTACTTCGGTTTGCCATAAATACTTCCAAGGCGGTGTTTTGCAGAAGATAACGTCTTGAAAATACAGCTCGGATCTCGCTGAACATCCATTTTCCATGAAGTCCCTCTGTGTACGCGAGAACCTAAGATCAAGCGTTTAAAGGGAAGTGTCAAATCGGTAAAATATGTGTCTAAGACTTAAGTCTGACAATATCTTAGTGCCACACAAAAGTCAGCAGATTAGGGATTATCTTCCTGAATTTATGATATGTCACAGCATTGTCAATTACTTGACTCTTTATAGTGTCTTTGCAAACTGTCTACCTTTCGAAATGTTCTTTGGTTGGCTCGTGAGGAAATGAATGAGTAGAAAAATTACATGCTCGAGGTGACCCTGTGACTTAACACAGAAAGTGTATTCTAGCTTTTAGGTCTTGTACGTAATTAGTTGAACCAGGAGACCTGATTATAGTGCTAAGTCTTTTCCATGATCCCTTTTCTCCTTTTTCCTTGTTTGCTGGAAGCCCAGTTAGCCCCCCGAGTGTCCGTGCAGTCAACCCGAGGCAATGGATCAGGACTGGGATAAGCCAGGGGTGAGCAATCACTTTTGGCAAAGGGCCTACTAGTATTTAAGGCTTTTCAGACTGTCGGGTTTCTATCACAACTATTCAATTTTGCCACTGTAGTGCAATAGCATCATAGACAATGTGCAAATGAATGGGTGTGGCTATGTTCCAATAAAACTTCATTTACAGTAGCAGGGGCAGCCTGAATTTGGGCCCAGAGCCACAGTCTACCTGACCCACGATCTAAGCCAATTCCAGCAAAGTTATTCCTTACCTCTCCCAATTCCTTTGCCATTAGTGGAAGGGACATTTGACCCAGCACCAGCTAATGAGGACAAGACCAGTGTCAGTTTGGGGGTGTTCTAGAAATGCTGATAAACTATAGCTATAGCTTTGTCTTTAGAAATAAATCTTTATATATTTAGAAATGCTGACCATCTATAGCTAGCACACGCCTTGCTCCTTCTTGCTGGAATGGAGATGTGATGGCAGAAACTGTAGCAGCAATTATGTGACCATGAGAAGAAGGTGAAGGGAACCGCAGCAAGGTTGGCCCTAACACTGAGCTACTGAAAGGATCTCAGCGACCAAACTCATCTGCACCTCTTCTTACTGGATACAGATTAATCTATATTTGATTAAGCCACTGTAGTGAAATCTGGAACAAACACATTCCTTCCTGATTCACCAATGTTTGCTAACGATACATAAACACATTTTCTACTTGCATTGTGTACTCTGCATATATTACACGTATGTTGCTTTTGTGAAAATGGAAACTAGTTACTGAGTTTTACATACATGATAGTCTGTAAAGCTTTAAAAATAAGTTATGAGTTCCCTTTTTACATTTCCTTTCTCCAGGAATAATATATATATATATATACACACACACAATAAGTGATCACATGGTCTTTATATTTTTTAAAAATTCCATTTCTAACTCCTTAGTTCAGCTTTTGTCTTTCCCCAGACACTGGAAGGTTTTTGGAGCCGGTCAGACATCTATTTAAATCAATCCCGAAACATTTTGGAGCCAGTCAGACTCCTATTTAAATCTTGGCTCTGCTGTTTACCAGCTCTAGGACCTTGGAAAAATTATTTAACTCCATCTGATTTTCATTATCTGAAAAACAATGATAACAGTACCTGTTGTTCATTTAAGTGGAGGCAATGAATGGAAAGTGCATGGCCTTAGCTATTAAGTTCTGTTTTTAAGTTTATATGTTTCTGTTGTTCAGCATAAAGTGACAACTGTTTCTCAGTTTCTAAACTGAAAACTGCACATTCCACAAAAGAACTGCAGTGACTTGCCACAACTTATATTAACAAATTCTTAGTTGGGCACAATAGTTTCCAGATTTGAATTTCATAGCCCAGTATAACTTTTTTAAATGGAAAGTACTAATACAGGGTTGATAACATCTTTTTTCTTTGTCAAGTAGGAAAAATTTTAAGACAAAACAATCACAACCACAAATACTATCTTCCACTATGACCATTATTTTACTAAAAAAAAAAAAAAATTAAGGCCATTGGAAACCCCAAACAGTACAATGAGTATAATCTCAGAAAGAGGAGGAATCTTCCCATGACAGCTCTGCTTGGCACACTTACACTAAAACCAGTGTGCTAGGGGGATGGAGAGAGAGAGGGTTCACAGACACCTGTATACATACACATACTCATGTTTTTACTTATTTTTCTCTTTGGGAACCATATGTCACGAATATTCAATCAAGTATCCCTGCCATTAAGCGGGTTATCAGTTTAGCAGACAGGTAGCTCAAAATACATAGAAGTTTGACTCCTTAGGTGCTCCATGGAAAACTGTCTTACCAACTGTGCCAGTTATCAATTTTTTGCTTTCCAGCTTAAAAGTTCATGCTTAAATTTTTTTTTTTTTTTTTGGTAAGAATGAATCTGTGCCCTTTATTTTTGCTTTGCTATATGGCATGATGTTAAGCTTTGTCAGGGAAGGACGCTGCAGAGACAAGGCAGGGGAAGGCCTCTTCCTGGCTGGTTCCCGTGCACTCGCTCAGCAGGTTCCTGAGTATGCGGGGCCTCCCCGGGGCCAAGCTCCTGCAGGTAGGATGGGCAACAGCGCCCAGCGTCAGGCGGTTTTCTCCAGGACTTCTCCCTGCCCAGGCAGTTTTGGGGCGTAGTGCCTCTGGTGAGACAACTCTCCCACCTCTGCCCCCATGAACAGCTTCACTAATGGAAGGTTCCAGAGCTCCAGTAAGCTCTCCTGGCAGGACACGAGAGGGACTTTTCCAGCATTCAATGAACGACAGCCATGCCCACCCCCAAGGAGGTCCGGGGGGCTTCTTCCTAGGGTTCAGTGTCAGCTGCAAGGGTAGCAGCTGCTCTTTATATATGCTGTTCCTATACTCTTTAGAGTTCTTTTTATTTCTTACTACCCATCCCCTTAGCTACTCCAATCTCCTGTTATAATTTATATCATAATTATTTATGTTACACTTTTCCTGTTTAAATTGCTATGTGGTTTCTCTTTGCTGATTGGCTCCAGACTGATACACAAACTCCATCAGTTCTCCTACCACCACTTTCATAGCTCCAGACTGGGGCCACAGCAGCCCTCAGGAACCCTCAGGAGCAAGAAAAAAGGAAACAGAGATAATCAGAGGAACTCAGCAAAGCCTGGAGGCAAGGAAAGAATAAAATTAAAAGAAGATTATTTTGCTAGTCAACAGCTCAGGAAACAAATTCCAAAGACAGATCCGAAGGCCCAAAGCTATTTTGGACAAGGGTAACATCTGAGTAAGTGCACTTATTCATCATCAAACACAGAGAAGTTAGTTGACTGACTGTATATGTTGTAGAATATAATGGCAGCATTACCAAACGGGCTGCGGGAAGGAAAATTATATATATATATATATATATGACCTCTTGTAACTTAAAAATAATCTGCCTAATTTATAACAGTAATCCATATTGAAGCTTTTTAAATCCTTCAGAAGGGCTGATAAAAGATAAATACTCTGAGCTGGTCATGATTCTCTGCTAGGAAACCCAGTTGAGCCCACAGTCCTCTTCTTTTTTTCACAGCAAGTCACCTCCTGCTTTCCCTTCTTGTCTCCTTCAAGACTGATTATGGAGTGAAACTCTCCTAAACTATTTCATTAACATTAACATTTTTTTATGTCCCTTCCTGTAAGCTGCCTCTCTCGGCACCCGCTGTTGAGTCACCACACACGTACGAACCTACACTGTCTCTTCCAGTACTTCAGTCTCTTTTAATTCTGTGCCTGGCCCTTTCTTATTTTCTTATTTGCTTTTTTTTTTTGTCATTCCTGCCCCTGAGACATGAAAGCTTCATGAGAACAGGACCCTAATCTGTCTTACTTACTGTTAAGACACAGGATTTAACTAAGTATGTAGTGCCTGGCACGTACATACTTCACCCACATTGGTTTGTTGAGTAAACCACTAAGAGAAATAGACAGGGATGGTGCGTGTGGGGAAGGTGACCAAGAAATTGTACAAAGTGTATGGATTTCTGACTCCTTTTGTTGACCTGGAAAACTCACCAGTTTGGAACTTCAGAATTCTCATGTTTATTATCCTAATGGTGGAACCCAACAGACATCTCTCCTGAGTTTAGACTTAAACAGGACCTAAAAATAAAGCAATCTAAATAGGACAACTGGTTGCTTTTCTCTAGGAGTCTAATTTTCATCCTCGAGGGACTCTAGGCTGGGTGGTTCCCTGCCCTGCAAGAACTGGTCCCTCCCAGACAGGCTTCCTCCCCTCCTCGGGGGGCATGGAAGGCCTGTAGGCTAAGGCACTTCGACTTTATTTTACAGACTTAAGCCTCTCGCTTAAGAACATGTGCACTGAGGTGTATCACAGAATATCACTTGGCACCCCTCTTGAACACCAATTTTATTTCTGGTAAGTAACTTAAACACTTTTGTAGTAATATTAATACAGATAGGATGGAGAATGAAATGGAAAACATGAAGAACTGTTGAGAAAAGTCACTAGCATTCCAGTAAGTGCTGTGATTGATGTGGGCTTCCTTGGATCATGACCCAAGTCTCCTTTACTCTCCTCTACTCAGGGAAAATGAGAAGGCCCTGCACCTTAGGAGGGGGTGAGACTTAGTGTGGCTTCCCTGACCTGCTTTCAGGTAGAGAAGGAGGTTCAGAGACACAAGGCAGAGGAGACCAGCGAGGGAGTGGCACGTGATGAGAAGTTTAGTCAATTTTTGTATATTTCAGAAATGTAAGGCATATCACTTACAGTTGATTAAATACTGAAGTTTATGGCATGCATCTGTAAAAATCTGGACCTCAAGCCCAGGTCTGAAATATGAGCTGGTACCATAAAATTGCCTGTATGTTATTTATATCTTTACTAGTTACAGAATGTTTTATAAGTTTCAGGACTGTCTATAATAATTCTTAAAAGTTTGTTTTTCATTATAGTCCAAGATATTTTTCTAAACTATGTGTTTTCATCTGTATTTGAGGTTTGGGATTATTATTTTCTTTCTTAGGTCAACCTTCCCATGTCATCTGGTTTGTGCCTGCCTGCTTCTCCAAATTATT